AGAGAGAGAGAGAGATCCAGCCAAGAATTCGGATTAATCATCTAGGAAGGGTGAAGTGAATTCGAAACTGGATAACGGAGAGCCCAGTGGATTGTAATCAGCGGACGCACAATTGGGCCGGTAGCTGGTTCAAGGCCACGAAAGCGGAAGGCCGCGTGTCACAGTTTCTTCCAGTGACCCACATTTGGCGACGTTTAATCGCGGTCACTCGGTAACGCAAACAGAGGATCGAAAGTCGTCGGTCAGCTGCATGGAATAAATACTTTTCGCGTGATTTAAACGTCGAATAATTACTATTTCTTGGAAAAATTGGTATTTTTAGTCGTTAGATTTGTTACATCTGACGAAAATGTTCGTAATTTGTTGACACGCGTGAATTTTTAATACAATTTACAATTGTTTATAACGTTAAAATGAATGAAAATTGAATAATGTGGAAAATTTTGATTATTGACGTTGAGTTGGACAGATGTGTTATATGCGTTAATTCTTTGACACAATAGATCGATATATCTTGATATATTGAATTATATATGAATTAAAGTTTGATGATAAGATATATACATTAAACAACAAAGATTATCTTAAGCGAAACATACAACTAGATACATTTTTCAGATATTAATTTAAGAACAAAAAAACAAAAGAAAATAGAAATATCAATTATTATTATTGTTTAATATTATAAACTAACGACTTGTAAATATGAATTATTATATATAATTCATTTTACAAATAAAATAGATCTTCTCGTTAAAATGTAATATTAATTTTACCAAAAATACCAATAAAAATTATTTATAATTCACAATTTTTTACGATACTAATAATTCCAGTTCTATAGATAAACAGTAATACATATTCTTCGCACATTATCACTTTACAAAAAAAAAAAAAGCAAGAAAATAAAAAAAGAGAATAAAAAAGGAAATTAAACGACACGATTTATTGTGTAAATAGTGCTCGCACTAACACTGCGAAAAATTATTTTTCTTCGTTTCAATTAAAAAAACAAAAAAAAAAACAAAAAAAAAACAAGCGATTAATTCCTACAATTATTCGAACACGGATAAAACAAAAAAGTGAGTACAGAGGTCGCTCGCGTGGCCGGCGAACGAAGCTTGTGCACACTTGGCCCGGGATCTCCGAACGATTCTTTGTTTACCTCGTTCTTGGACGGTGTCTCCCCGGTGAGCCGTCGAAAACAATTGGAAATCAGCGACATACTCCGTGTTTCCGGGTCGTCAGAATCCCCGAAGAAAGTGGATCAAAAGCCGAGATGAAAATGCTGACGACAGTGTTCGGTGGAACAACAGCTGGCAGCGCGCTTCGTATCCCTCTTCTTTCTTCTTCGACCGTGACAGTGGAGCGGCTTATCGGTCAGCGGACGGAAGGGGAATCATCACGAGCAGTGGCAAGAGTTGTCGGAGTGGGGAGAGACTTGGTATGGTGGCCAGAGTGTAACGTTACAACGAGTGCGAGTGGGAGTGACGAAGGAAGGACGAACGAAGAAGAGAGGGATCTTGATGATACGCGCGTGTCGATGTTTGAACCCAATGAAATTTATGGAATTATGAGCCACGCTCGCGAGATTTGTAGTGGTCGATGCGCGCACGTTTTTACTTTACTTTTTTTGCCGCAGGAGCAACGATGAAAAGGAGAGAATGGATGTGTGTATGTGTGTGTATATGTGTGTATGTGTGCGTGGAGAGAAGAAAGAACGATGTCTACAACCGATGGGTCGCGGGGAAGGAATGACGTGACGGCTCGAACCGGGACTGAAGTGAGAGAATGCACCGGGAAATGCGCCTGCGAACTGCCAGCCAACCTTGCAGCGATCTCTCCGCATAGATGTCGCCACTGTGCGGAATTACAGCTGTCCATTGTTGGCCACGTTTCAAAGGATTGGAAATAGTTTATGGAATAGTTGAAATGGAGATTTGTCCTGGTGGTGGAAGTACATACAGAATTGACTAGATATTACCACCTTGATTTTCGTCCACCACAATGTTATCATTGTTGTAACAAAAAATGTGTCAAATGGAGTTGAATGGTTTCAAGGAAGACGCGTAATTTTTTTTAAAGTAAGTGGATGCGTAGAAGATATATTGATTGATATTAATTTAAAAAAAAAAGTATTATTACTTGGTTTATTTTAATAGATATTTTTAACTCGAAGTTTTATTAAAAAAAGTTTACGATACGAAAGACGAGGAGAACATGAATAGTAGAGTATTGCGTTCCTTGTAACGAGATGGTAATATGATGAAAAAGAGCAAATTCTTGGTGAACTATCCTGTATAATATCTATGGCAAGTATTCATGTATTATTTAAATAATTAATTAGAATATTAATAAATGTATACTTATAAATATTATCTTAAAAATGATGAAACGTAGAATATGATTAAAAGATGCTTAATCGAAAAATAAGAGTATATGCAAATACTTGTTAAAGAAAAAGAAAAAAAAAAACAATAGAAAAGAGAAAACATGGAAGCACAATTTATTGAAAAAAAATAATATATGAATGAAACAATAGAGATGTAAACGCGATTTTTGATGAATAGAAAAATATTATTCGAATATTTCAAGTATACAATACTTAAAATATTTAAAATATTTAATTACTTATGTTCTATAAGATCGAATAAATATTTAAAACAATAATTTTGCTTTTGATATATTAGAAACAAATTATTATTTTAATTAATTTTTCCTCGCATAATTCAGAAGATATTTTTATCTCTTATTTCAAATACTATTGCTCAGAACTGCCTCTATCTTATCATCTCCTCTTTCGGACAATGACAGAACAGCCTGCAACCTCGAGCAACCTCTGTTCTCTCTAACTCTCCTTTCTTCTCATTTTTGGAACAATGCCGAATGATCAACCGAATCATTAGCCTTTATCTCATATCGTGATAGCTTACACTTTTCAATTTCTATGTGATGCTTTGCTTTGTCCCCTTCCACTCGTATTACGTGGAAGAAACTTTATCCAATCTATGACAAAATTGTGCACAATTTTTTCCTTGTATAAAATAAATTTGAAATTGCTGTTGAAATGTAACTTTAAAAATAAAAAAAAAATGGAGAAAAAGAGAATGGAAATATAATCCATTTAAAATTAATTATCCTCGTTTTAACGAATAAATGATAATTGGAAAAATTTCACGATAATCTTCATTAGTAACAGCATTTTTAATTTATATTTTCATAACCTTTGAATTTTACCAATGTTGGTAAATAAAGTTTCTAAAGTTTTGCAAATTATGCCTTACGGTTTTATTGCTTCCTAAAGTCATTTTTTTTATTGTCGCTCATAAAATTATCGTTTACTTTGTAAAACGGGACTTTATATGATACTCTTTTCTATTAACTGACTGTAAACACTACATAAACTTCCCTTTCAGAATCTGAACTTGTTAACGAGCCAACAATACGATATTAAAAATGAACGAAACGAAACGAGGAACATAATACGTTTCAAGCAAAAAGATTTAAATAAGGGGGATATATTTATCGTTCATTTTTATCCCACTAATACTCGTTATATTATAGTATATTACGTGCCATTCGATTCGTTCCTCTCTTCAATGGAAGAAAAAAAAAAAAAAAAGAAAAAAAAATTTCAAACTTCAATTTTTTTGCGAATTGGATTGAAAATCGTGCTTTTTTCCTTTCTTCCTCACAAATTCAACGAATCTAGTTGCGATTTTTAACACCCTTTTCCGTGTTATTAGATTCGTCAATTGTTTAACACGTTCACACGAAAATGACATGAATTCTCATCGTTTACAATTTAACATTTATATAAAGCATCTACACTTAGTCGTGAGTTATTAATGTAACGTCGAATATTAGTGATCCAATTCATTTAAATTAATCCAAATGAATAGCACGTGCTTATCTGCGAATTAAAATAAAAATTTGGACAAGTTTCCATGCTCCCACGTAAAATTTCATTTTCGTCGGATACGTAAAATTAGAAAGTTTTGGTGTCATCTGCATTAATATATAAGGTGTTAATATATTCATCTTTGGATAGTCGATTCGAAAAGCCAAATAAATTGCATAAAAATTTATCGAGTTGAGATCATCAACCTCTTCATCATCAAGGCAACTTCAACTCGTTAATTAATTTAATAAATAAATTCCTCGATCGAGATTTTCGTACTCTAGAAAATCCACATACGAAACATTATTTTACATATGTTCATTTCCGATAAGTAAAATTCATTATGCTCTTATTTATTTAAAAAAATCCGAATTGAGATTCCCAAAATACAAATTAAAAAAAAAATTACACCAGAATATTTTTGAAAGTGACGAAAATTATTGCTCAACTATATAATTAATGAAATATTTTTCGCACGCATCTTAAGATATGAATAATAGTAGTAAGGTTAGGTTGATATTTTATTCGTGTTTGATTATCTTTCTTCACAGCAATAATATATATATATTTTATATATTTATATTACATATAATATATAATATTAAATGTATATATATATACACGCAACACGCAGAAGTTCAACAAAGTTCGCAAAGCGCGTACTATTTGTCCCTTTCTCGGGGTCGAAATTTATTACCCCCCCCTCCACGCGAATAAAAATCCGCAACGTCCACGTGTCGCGCTAGTCGCCGCGAATGAAATTAGGTCGAGTAATTACAATGGTTCGACGCGATGGTGGAAAATTTTCGATCGAGCAATTTAACATAAAGCACGCTCCAGGTAGTTGCAGTGCACCAAAAGGGATCGCGTTACATCGGTGTTAACCTTGTTTTCTTTTTTTTTTTCGTAAGGCCGCGACAGCTATTCTCGAAGCTCTCGTGTCGCGAACGTTCTATGTAGGACGCGCAATGCGCCGATTCGTGCAGAAAAATTACGCGATACACACAGCCTTCGGTCGATTTCAGATCGTGTCAAAGTCTATCTCTCGAAGAATCTCTTTCTTTTTTTTTTTTTTTTTATCAACGATCGAAGGGTCTCGGATTTATTTTAGTTCGCGGTTAGCAAAAATATTCGAGACGAAACTATCCGCGTAAAAATACACGAGATTCTTGATGTTGTTGAGGTTACGTTTGGCCATGGATCGATTCTTTATTGCAATAAAGAGAAATGAAATTTAATAAAACTTAAGAATCGTAAACCTGTGACACGACTATTCTTCGAGGGATAATTCAGAAATTCTATTTTCGAGGTGAAATTTCGTATCCTAAAACGTATACGGAATCATTATATATCTAGGTTAATCGTTTTAAATACGATTAATTTATTATACAGATTAAAATAACTGTTTGAAATATTTTACAAATGTACATGTAAACGTTTAATCGTATATCTTTTCTGTATGAAAATTGATAAATACTTTTTCTTTATTATACATGCAATGAAACATTTGAATATTTTTTTTCTTTTTTTTCTCTCGTGCAACTTGCCATCTTAATATGCTTGTTTACGTAGTATAGTATAGTCATATGAGAGGTTAACATTCGGATTAAGTTTCATTTACTAAAAAATACGAGGAGATTTATTTATTTTTAATCGATATTCTTTTTTTTTTTTTTTTTTTATTTATCTTCCTCGCCAACTTAACCTTTTTAAGTTGAATGCGTTGAAACTTATTATTGCGAATTATTCTAATGATAGATGCAATATAATGCATTATCTAAAAAGAAAAAAAAATATGTTCTTTTCATTTTCTAAATTTGCATTCATTGTTAATATTTATCTATTTTATTTAAAACTGTGTTATGTAACGTATGTAATTTCAAATTCAAATCCAATTCCGTCATACGTTTTGTGGCAACAATAAAGTAAAACATTTTTATTTCTCACCTGTGTGAAAATTTTTGCGAATCATTTAAATTCAAAAATTCCACACCACTTTATGATTTGACCAGATCATACACGTGATCTTTATGAAAGTCAAATTTCTATTTATATGATTAAAAGAATAAAAAATTTGCTTATATTCCTTGAATATAACAACCTGCATATGTCGTGCATGTCTTTGTTTGCATATCATTCTAATTTTTAATTTTTGTCATTTAAATATCTGCATTTGTGCATCTTATTACTTTTTTCTTTTGTATTTGCATTTAACTTTGTTATAATAAAAAAAGTGTAATAATAAAATAGAGAAGAGAATATATTTAACATTTTTTTTTTTCTTTGATTCAAAATATCAAATTAACTTTAGAATCTGGGAATTGTTTACCTTCTCTAAATTATCTGTGACGAATATTTTTCAAAGATATATATATATATATATATAAAATTTCACGTGGACCAACTAAACGTAAAAACGTAAATATTGTACAGCTTGTAAATTTAAACTTGTAAATTTTAATTCTAATTTAATAATTTTTTATTCTTTTTTCAAATTCGATACTATCTGCTTCCACGATGATAGGATAAACTGATCTGAAGTTATAAATTATTAATTTGAAATCTAAAGTGATTATTACATTTATTATATAATAATAATATAATATAATAATCCGCATAAATTTTTCATTCTAATCGTTTAAGTGATACGTGCAAAAATGCATACATACGGTCGCCTGATTTTAATTAAATCGTAATTACATGCACACAAATATTGTTACAACGAGTATGATCAAAATCATTTTCGATCTGCACTGTGTTCTATTGCATATAAAGATAATAGGTTTCGACAACATATATTATTTA